TTTCCATCCTTAAATATTATTAAAAAATGAATATAGCAAGATTAATTTAGGCTTTATTTCTTTCCAAGCTCAATACTCAACTATTTTAAAATAATCTCGAGTTGACATACTGTCGAGGTCAAATCTACAAATTTGTCAACTACTATACGAGCCAAGCTCATACTCCGAAGTTTTTTAAGCTCAACACTGTAGCTCGCATTAATTTTTTGCTAGCTGAGCTCACGAATATCTAAAAACAATTCAACTCGACTTATTTCAACAGTCCAACACATCTTTATTTCACAATAGAGTAGGCGAATATCAGATGGCACAAGCATCACGAACTATTTTTAATTTTTATTGCGAACAACACATGCCCCTAAAGGTGGGTCTTTTCGATCCCTATCTAGGCTGCAACCAGCACCATCCCAAACAAAAGGGCAGAGTGATTTAGCCGATGGCATTTGGCATAACGCTCCAGCTCTTCTGGCACAAAGGCACAAAACCTTCCTCAGCAGGCCCATTTGGAAACGTGGAGCGGCCAGCATTTGGAGCCAAGAGAACTTAAGGCTGCAAACTTCAACCTCCAAACCTCAAACCTGCACTTGTGAAAGTAGGTAGACTGTTGAAATGAGGACACTTCACTGCAACAGAGCAAATAAGGCCAGTCCCACCAGCCACAACTAGTCGAAATGTCAATCCAAGTCGACAAAAACGTAAACCATTGAGTTTTTTTTTATATGTGAGCTTTAGTTGATGGATACAATCTCCCTATTTCTGTCTCAAGCGTAGAAACCAATGGCTACAAATGTCGGATTAGAGGGTGTTCGAAGTAAAGACATGAAGAGAATGTGCCCACAAAGCTTCAGGTTTTCTAGCCGCAACATGAACCGGTGAAGTTGTGGCGGGTGTAAGAGGCCCGTGTTTGGCTTTTTTGGATGCTGATGAATTTTGTTGCAGTTCCGGCAATAGAGTTGGGAGCCCCGGCAAGAAGTGAGCAGGCACGAGTGGTCTTATCTTCGACGATTTTTTAAGATGTTTGTCCTGATTATTTTAGCTATCCATTTGATAAATCGCAAAATCACATTGGTGATGTAACTCGGATGAGCATAGTGATAACTTTTGATCCTTCGAAATTGGAAGGGAGTGGTGTGGCCAGGATATGCGAGCAAGAGTTCAAACAATTGCTATCTTGTATGGTTTTTCCTTACTATTATCTACTTGCACTGTGGTATGAGTAAACTCTAAAGTTATTATTTTATATTTGATAAAGGATCATTTGTAATAGCTAAGTTATTATTTTGTGAAAAGATTTCGAAATTTTGTATGGTCTAAATATTGTTTATTTCTCTTGTTGTGTTGTGTTTATCTTACTTTTGATCTTTTTATTGAGAAACTCCAATATAGGTAAATTATATAGTTAATAGTGGGTTAATATATATCATTAAAAATTTCAATTCATGTACTGATCTGTGTAAGAATATGCTCGTTCCGCTTAAACCTTGCACTGCACAACAATCTACCAATTCTCTTACTATATGTTGAATTTTGAATATGGCATGATTAATATCAAATATTTTTAAAAATGTAAATTCATAACAATATTTTGCAATTATCTTGGTTTTAACAATAGTAAATGCATTCTCAAAGAGTTGAAACAACGTTTGAAAAAGAAAAATGAGTAATAATTTTTGAAACATTTTTGCCAAACAAATTATTTTTTGTGCTTTTTAAAAATAAAACAATAAAATAAACCATTGATATAGGCAATCATCATTTTGTTTGTTCTTTTTTGCCTTGCCACACGCTGGCACAAAATGTTGGGCATAGGATTATAATTGGGCTCGTCATTGGGACATTGAGAGGTCAGTTTGAAGCCCATTATGCTCTTGACCAATTATGGACAAAGTATACAAATCAAATCATCTCTACCAAAAGGCCATTTAAATATATAATGTGTTTGGATTGGGCCAGTTCCCCATCTAGGCATTCCAATCTTCTCTATTTATTTTCACCTAGCACTATGGTTTTCGTTTTCGTTCAGGCTTCGCGAACATCTCATAGTCGCCGCTAAGGGTTTGGTGTTTCTATCTATATATACACAGAAGAGTCATCAACATTCCGCGCTCTATACAAGCCGAAGCCACTTCTTCTCATTCAGATCCATACTAGGGTTTCATCTGCAAATTCTCTAGCTGTTTTTGGTTTAGATTGTTTTTAAATATGTTTGATATTGATTGAATTGATTTGAATTTCAATTTGATGAGAAAAACTGCAACAATATGATAGGATATATAACATTTCCATGATTCGTTGTATTTAAGTCTCTGAATGATTCGATCTTTGTCTGTGTATATATAATAGTATGACCATTAAATGTTTTTCTTGTGTTTTTGTTTCAAATCTTTTTATCATTTTCTATGAGAGATATGATAGAGTATTTCTAATTGGCCGTGTTTCAGATTCAAACCGTGACGATAAACCTTAAAAACGCAAGCTCTGATCTCTCTTTCATTTCCTAATATTATTTTTTGGTTTTCAAAATTGTATTTGTTTCTGCAAATTTAGATTTTTTTTTTTTTTTTTTTTTTTTTTTTTTTTTTTTTTTTTTAGCTTTAAAAATTGGGTTTCGAAAGGCTCTGTGATTAAATGCCTAATTTGTTGGGCAATATACGCTATTCTGATTCTAAATATGAACAGAGAATTTTTGTGATAATGAGAGCCACTACTGATATTAAACAGAGGTTTTTTTTGCCAATTTGTGTGTTTTTTTTTTAAATTTTATTTGCTTCTGCTATGATGAATTATGAAACAATTCACATGTCAGACTTCAGAGATCTGTATAAAGATCTATGAGAAGACTAATTCATGAATTCTGAGCAGTTTTTAAACCTTTTTACAATTACAATTTGTCTTTGGATTCATTATACCATCTGAAGTGGATGAATCACTTGTGTGTAAAGAAATGGAATCACTTTTTTGAATGAATGTTTTACCAGAAATTGTGATAAAAGATTGGGTGCTGCTTAAGTGTGCAACTCCCTTAAGGTTGCACACCATATGCAACTCAATTGTTAGCCGTTAGATTACAATAATTGATCAAAACTATTGAATTGTTTAATCGTGAAAAAGTTGAAACCGAGGCAACCGGTTAATGCTTGTATTTGCATGATTGCATCCCACTCACTCTCTGTATTTCGTCTCTATCTCTCTCTGTTCTCCTCTCTGTGTAAGGTTGAGTCAGTGTAACTGTTGATTTCCATTAACAGGGAGAAGCACCTGTTGGGTTCGTTCCATTGACGAAGCTCTGTAGGGAACAGTATAACGGGCGATTTCCAACAACAACGTAACTACAAGGTTGTGTTGGTTCCATTGTTGAAGTGAAGCCCTTCTCTCAAACTAGATATGAGGTATGGAGCTGTCTCCCTCTCTCTGTCTCCCTCTCTGTCTCTCTGGCCTGTTCACTTCAGCTATTTTCCCTCAGCTAAACCCCCATCCTAATTTCAACCGCTCTATGCTTCGCTCCAACGGAAACCCCCCCATTGGCAGCTAACCTTTCTCTTTCTCTTTCTCAAGTGAGTGTTTGTGTTTGCACAAACAGCTAAATCGTGTAAAAATGTCATGTTTGTGTTTGTGTTAACAATTTTCGGTCATCAAGTAATTGTTTGTAGTAATGTCATGTGCAGTATGGTCCCAGCGGAAGTTAAAAGGGAAGGTGATGATTATGACATTCCAAATGAAGCAGATGACATTCGTTTGATGAATGAAAGTCGGGCAGAACTTGATTATGGTTGCGAAGTTGGTCCGAGCAATGAAGAAGCAACCAACATGAACGTTGAAGATGGCGGAGCTGATGTGAAAAAAGAAATGGTTGACAATGCTCATCGCAATGACATGGTTGGTGATGTTGAACGTGCTATTCTGGAACAGAAATTTGATTCGGTCGAAGATGGAGAAGATTTCTACAATGCGTATGTTAAAGCCAAGGGATTTAGTATACGAAAATCCAGATTTAACACAAATAAAGAGGGAAAGGTCGTTAGTAGGTTGTGGTTGTGTTCAAGGGAAGGTCAGAGATTACCAAAATACTTGGATCGTGTTACTGAGAAGAGTAGAGCTCCCAAGGCACTAACAAGAGTAGGTTGCAAAGCCCAATTTCGCATACGGTACGATGCGGATGCTGGTGAAGGGGGAAAGTATGTTGTGACTCACTTCGTCGCAGACCACAACCATGAATTGGCGGAACAACACTGTGTGATGTATCTGAGGTCACATCGCAGTTTAAACAGCGGTGACAAAGCTTTCTACAATGCGTATGCTAAAGCCAAGGGATTTAGTATACGAAAATCTAGATTTAACACAAATAAAGAGGGAAAGGTTGTTAGTAGGCTATGGTTGTGTTGAAGGGAAGGTCAGAGATTACCAAAATACTTGGACCGTGTTGCTGAGAAGAGTAGAGCTCCCAAGGCACTAACAAGAGTAGGTTACAAAGCCCAATTTCGCATACGGTACGATGCAGATGCTGGTGAAGAGGGAAAGTATGTTGTGACACACTTCGTCGCAGACCACAACCATGAATTGGCGGAACAACACTGTGTGATATATCTGAGGTCACATCGCAGTTTAAACAGTGCTAACAAAGCTCAAGCAATGGCTATGCGCAACGTCAATGTGAAGACTATCCAAATCATGGACTTTATGGTAAATCAATCCGGGTCTTATGAGAATGTTGGTTTCATTCGTACGGATCTACACAACCATATTCATGCCGAACGTAGAGCAAAAGTTGAGGATGGTGATGCGCAGGGTGCGTTGGTTTACCTATGTGCAAAACTTGATGTTGATGGACCTTTTTTTTACAAGTATGATGTGTGTAACGATAACAAGTTACAAAATTTGTTTTGGGCAGATTCGAAATCGCGGGTCGACTACGCAAAGTTTGGTGATGTGTTGATATTTGACTCAACTTACAGAACCAATGCATACAAGAAACCTTTTGTCTTGTTGGCTGGTGTGACTAGCCACTTTAGGACCACGATATTTGCATGTGTTTTGCTAACTAATGAGACAATTGAGACATACACATGGGTTTTGGAAACATTTATGGAGGCGATGGGCAATAAAGCACTTGTGTCCGTACTGACAGATGGGGATAAGGCGATGTGAGAGGCAATCAGAAGAGTATTTCCAGACGCAAAACATCGATTATGTAATTGGCATCTTGGGAAAAATGCTGTTTCAAATGTTCACATAAGTGGCTTTGCACATGCTTTCAAGCAGTGCATGGACATGGAAACGGATGAGACAAAGTTTGAGCATGGCTGGACGACAATGGTCGAAAAATTTGGACTTCAAACCAATAATTGGGTGTTGGAGACATATAAGAAGCGTCATATGTGGGCTGAGGCATATATTCATACCAACAATTGAATGTCACGGACGTGTTCTCTTTGCCGGATGGTCAGAAATGTTATTATATTCATAAGTACAAAGTGAAGGATAGATCATGGATAGTAACACACAGTCTAGTGGATGCTGCAATGAGACGTTCTTGCATGAAGTTTGAGTCGTTGGGGCTACCTTGTTGCCACATGATATGTGTTATGAAAGCTGAAAATTTAATGCAAATTCCCCCAACTTGTGTGCTGCGTAGATGGACAAGGGCTGCAAGCAAGGATGGCCAGCAATGGCCTCAACCCTCAATTGATAGCACTACAACACAGACGGCCCGGTATGGGATATTGAGTTCTTCCTACAACGAAGTGTGTTTCTATGCCTCACAATCAACGGAAGATTTCAAAGAGGCTAGGGATGCATGTCTTCCAATGACGAGCCGGATGAAGGAGTTATATGAGAGGAATTTGAACGGTGGGAATGGAGACAAATGGAAACATTCATTCCGTCGACAATTTAGAGTAGAAGATCCTGATGTTGTGAAGACAAAAGGGAACCCAGGACGGGCCTCGTCCAACTGTCAAAGACCAAGAAAATGTGGGAATTGCAAATGCATTGGGCACACAAAGCGAACGTGTCCTAAGGTTCGGTTTAGCCGAACAGTGGGTACTAACTCAGATGCAGATACACCCCACATAACTGACCGTGAGTACAATGCGGAGTCATTGCCCGTTCGCTGCAAAACTGGGTTGGTGGATCCAAGTATACCGCACATTAAGCAACGACGACTATTTTTCGATGTTTCTCCTGATTCCAAGCAGCCTGTGGGCCAATACGGTAGTGTTGAAGCAGCAGTGTGGAAAAATGATTCGAACACAATTGATGAGGTGAATCAGGTAATTGTATAATTTGTATGATTTACTTATTCCCTTAATTTATTAGGTAGACAGTACTAGCTATTAAAAACACATGGAAATAATGTATGTAGTTTTCATTTTGCACGGATTGCTGTACGTAACGTGTAAATAATTGGTTATGTACAATGTCAGGAAATGGCACAACGTTACTTATGTACAAGGTCACGAGTTGTAAATTTCCCATATTATTTAGAGTCATGTTGTCATTTGTGTTTGCAGTAACTTGTCATTTTGAAAACTAATTGAAGGTGAGGTTAGATATATATGGGTTGTCTGTGTATTGTTTTGGGTGGGAAATTGGCTTATGTCTGTATTCCAAGATTTCTATTGCGGGTTGCTTGTTTCTGTTCTATATTTGGTTGGATCTAACTGAAGGGTTTTTTGCAGTGTGCTTTATCAACTAACGATGTGTTTCGCTTCGTATTGATTTGTTATGACTTGTGTCCGTAAATTAGTATTATATTTCGAGTAAAATACGAATTTTGTCCAAGTGGGTTTGCAAATTACATACCAGCACATGCATTTTGTATATAATTCAAGTGGCAGTTAATTTTGGGTGTTACTTGGAGAAAGTAACCCAACGAACTCGTTACTTTATCTCCATGCCGATTGGTATATGAATTACGAGTTACGAACAGGAGTTGTAAAATTATTTAATGTTTACTATGGAAGTATGAGTTTATTGTTAGTAAAATTATGATGGGCCTATATCGACAGCAACGAAGCAGTAATTTAAAGTTGACAAGTTCAAGAAGAAAATTAAGCAATTGTGGTATTGGTTCAAATGCCTGAAATGGATGAAGACTTCTTTCGATGAACTGATGGTAACAAAGTAGAAAGTAACAAAGTAGAAAGTAGAAAGTAAGTTGTTGTGTTGTTGTGTTGTTTGTAACAAAGTAGAAAGTAGAAGGGAAAAAACTACACAGAAGTTACAATGTAGAAAGTAAGTTGTGTTGTTGTTCATGTCCTCTCTCTCTGCAAACATTCTGCCCTTTATAGCTATAAAATTCCCACGACCCCATGATCTGCCAATTCTGCAACTGCTTCTGTGCAACTTCTGTGCAACTTCTGTAACTGCACGGTCATTTTCGTGTATTGAAACCACATAAAAGCTTCACTTGTACCTGTCGAAGTGCATATAATTGAAGTTGCCACCTGTGCCCAGGTCCTTTTAGCCTTTCCTCGACAGATACAGACTCCCAATTCGTTCATGTTTTCTCTTAGATGGTGGCCACTAAATCCATGAGCACTGCCTGTAACTGCTCCAGCGTGTAAGTCAGGTGGCATGCAAGATTCAATGTTAGTTGAATGGAGCAGCTGTTGGGAGGAAGTGGGAAAAATAGGTGCAAAGAGGAATTTTTAATCTAATATCCAATCAGAATGTAGCTGAAAATATGAGTGAACTTTTTTTAAAAAAAAAGTAGTTCCCATTTTTTTGATTATAAACCCGAGATGTATATTTTGTTTTTGATATAAATAAGTTGTGTATTTTCGTTACGTAAAATGTAGGACAACAATTGTGTTTAAGTCATTACAATACAAAAAAATGTTATTTCAAACATATTTTCAAGTTTA